AGAGAATAGCAGAAGGGGTCGAAACTTTGGATTGTAATCCAATTTTTCTAAGTTGAAAGCTCTTAAATCCCCCTTAACTCGCGATATTCTCCTTACAGCAAACCATTCTTTCGTTGTAGCAAAAAACTAGACAAAATTTCTCTTTGTTATCTGTCATTCTAGTTATAGCGAGAGCTCTTCGCTGCAGCGACAAAATTCTGGTTATAGAGAGCATCAGAAAGCCTGATTATGGAAGCTTTTTCTCGCTATAGCGAGATACCCTGCACCAAAATTCCTATTTCCTTCAATACAAGGGCCACAAAATTAAGGGTGTTACAACATACAAAATTTTAAGAAGTATTACTAATTACTTAATAAAAAACTTTGTTCCTTAACTGTCTAACTTGAACAATTTAAGATTCAACATAATAACTTCTTCAATTATTATTTTGAATCTCAATCAGTAAACTAAGATTTCACTTAAATTTTAAATTCAAATCATAATATTTGGTGTAGGAATTGAGTGTAGAATTGAGCTTCAGAATTTTAATTATTATGTTTGGATGTCCATTTGGAATTGAGATTATATTATTTTTCTACACTTTTTGCACTTGACACAAACTATATTGTTTTATGTTAATTTTATAATAAATTGTTTGATAATTTTTTTAAGTTGTTAGATGTTAGAAAAAATATTAGAAATTAATTCAATAACTATAAAGAGTACAAGAGAAACAAAAAGGAGAAAACTAGTGCAAGGTGCAACAATTATTATAGTGGTCACAATAACTTTATGGTATAAATAAAGAAATATACCCAAAGAGCCAACAGACGAGAGTGATAAAGACACAGAAAGAAGTATACTTTTGGGGCAATCATATCATGAGACTGATGAAAATTGTTATAATTAATTACGTCTTACTAACACTATAGAATTTGATTTCAACTTAGAATTATAATTCTACATTCTAATGGAATTGGAATTAGAATTATAATTTTAAACTCCAATTCTAATTCCATGCACCAAACGAGCCCTTAGAGAACAATTTACATATATTCATAATATTTAGTAAACCACATGTATTTGCACCCACAATTTACATTGAACAACAAAACATAAAGCATACTTAAAAAAACATATAACCATTTGCCTACAAAATACCATGCTAACCTTAAAAAACAATAAGCATTTGCCCACGAAATACCATGCTAGTGATACTATCAAAGTGTTTAATTAAAAATGTTCACACCATTTCATTAGCAAGGAAAATCATAAACTAACAAATACAAACCATCATATAGTGATTAGTTCTAAGCAAAAGACAATTCTACTCATTTGGATTGTACTATTGTACATATCAACTTAATTACTTAATTATTAACTACTCAAGCTCTTGAATCTATATTTAACACATTTGAGGATTTTAAGTTCAAGTTCCTATTCTCCTAATTAGACTATATGTATGGCTAAATAAAGGAAAAAAGAATCTTTATTTTTAGATACTTAACAAAATGAAGCAAATATATTTAGAGTTCAAAACTTGTTGTAAAACCATTGCATTAGTCACTATCAAAATAATTTACTCTTTAAGCCAAATGTCAATACAAGCTTCAATATACAATAGAAAATATTTACATTTATTACATAAATTACACGAAGGAAATATAATTGAATCAAAGTTCAAAACAACTACATTGCTAAGTCCACTAAATCAAAGTTGAAAACTACTACCACTATTTATATTGCTAAGTCATATTAATTGCTTAAGTAATTTATATGGCTCATTGTTTTATGACATTGTGACAAATTCAAAGTCTTGCTTCTAATATACCATTTGCTACAAGAAATTGCTACCTATATATGATATTTTCAAGATTTGTTCTTTTTGTCTCTCCCTCTCTCCATAGCTTATAACAACATAGTATGAAATCTGAATAAAAAATGAACAAATTTTTTCAAAATGTAAAGAGTATAGGCAATGACAGGTGTTATTGTGCATTTTATATTCACATCTATATCTCAATTAGACTATGTTATATATAACTTATGCTTTTAATATCATTATATAATTTACATGGTCTATGTGTTATGTAGTTGCTAATTATCTACATTAAGGCAAGTTCACTAACCTAAAGTTCCAAATTTGCCAAAATAAGCAAAACCTAAATATAATTACATAAAAATAACTTAGAAAATCAATGTTACTGACTTGAATTAGCTTTGCTTTGACCTGAATTGATGTTCATGTCAATGGCAGGGATACCATTGCAATATTCACTTCAAACATTGATGAGATTGAATACAGGGAGTAGAGAGTATTGTTAAGTCAGATGAATAACAAAGAAGTATACTCAAACAATGTAAATGAATGACTTTGCAGATAATGGTCACAACAATAGTGCAAACAATGGTGACAAAGATGATATAGAGAGAACAAAGAGAAATATGGGGGTCCACATAGAGGAGAGTGAAAGCAAGGGCAGAGATGAACAAGTTTTGTTATGGTTCAATTTTAGAGAGCGGTTAGTTAAGAACCACTCTCCGACATTCAACTTAGATAGCAGTTACATGTCTAACTACTCTTCAAAGCATTTTTCAATTACATGTTTAACTATTCTCCAAGTGTTGTTCAGAAAGCAATTTTCAATTAATTGCTCTCCAAATGCTGCTTAGAGATCAGTTCTTTAATAACTGCTCTTCATGTTCGTGTAATTTGGTATAGTAATTTTAAATAATGAGTATTGATAAGAGCTTATAATAAGCTTAACAATAAAGAGCTTAAAGTTTAAACTTATCTAAAGATTCCTTTAATACTTTAAGTATGATACATTAAAGTTTTTGTCTAACTTCCTTACTACTTGTTAGTGTTTAAATTTTCATGAAGACACTCCTCTTGCTTATCCCAAAGATTTTAGAAGAGATTGAGTTTGCTCTTTATAGTTGTACAATTTAGATTATGTCACTTTTTAAATACTAATATGACATTGAAAGAAGTAAAAATATTTTAAATTAGTTATTTTTCACATAAATAACATATAATAGTTTAAAAATATTAACATTTTTTTTTATCTTTTTTAAGGTATTATTGTGTTTCAAGAATTATGAATTTAATAATTTAATAAGAGTTTTAGACTGTGATTGATAAATATATAATATTGTGATTTAAATTCATAATATATTATGTGAAAGAATATACCATTTATTGTATCGGCAAATAGATTGTTTGTTCATAGTTCTTAAACAAAAGAATATCACTTGTTAGCTAACAAAGAAAGATAAAATTATACTTAAAAAATTGCTAGTAATATATTAACATACTATTAATGTTAAAATTTATGTAAGTCTCTCTATTTCTTATTTCTAATTTAATAATTTTATTTATATTTTTTATAATTTTTAATAAATTTTTACAAATAATTTAAAATATAATATTAATACTTGTGTATAACTTGTATAAGACAATTTTAGGCGAGGCAAAATTTCATTATTTATGATGAGTATGATATTAGACATTATGAGTTGAGATTACACCTTAAATTATGTTTAGATAGTTTATAATGTATGACCCATGTAGATACAAAGGATCGATTTTACGAAAATTTTTAATTGCAATTTTGAAATCAAATTTAGGTTAACGAATGGAGCTAAGTAAGAGGCTTGAGTTTTGGTAAGTTTTCTTAAGATTGAATTAATATTTTTTTAATTACTTCATAAGTTATATTCTGCTTAATTTTAAACTCGTGATATATATGATTGCTTCTTTTCTATGCTCACTTTGTTTACTATGCCCCACTGAATCTCTATTACTTGTTTATTTTCTTCCATTTAAATTCACAGGTCATGAAGCATGGAATTTTTGGACTTGTTGATCTACCCAATAGTTGTTCCGTTTTTTTTGGTAAACCTTCTACAAATGCATTTGTAGGAATAGAATGTCTCTTTGTTCATCATTTTGTTGTACATGTGATTTCATAATCGTGATATGATCATTCATGCACAATTGTTCTTTTGGAACCTTAACATTGACTACTACAAGTCTTCATACTACTTTATGATATTAAAAATATAGAGCAAATTCTATCAGTTTTTTTTGTGGCTCTTTGTTATTGAAATAATGTATATCTTTGTTGTGGTCCCTCTTTTAAGTTTTTCAAGATAATTGAATAGTAAACTAATATTAACTTGTGTGTTAATTACTGTCTAAAGGTGAGTTGTGATAAAATTGAATCATATAGACATATCTATATGTTTCCTATCACAAAAGTTATTTTACTATTTATTCAGCAATGTAAATTAAAATTAACACTTCTTACTCCTTCTATTAAACTTCCTTTTAACTATAAGTCAAATTTTAAACTGAATTTTTTATTTAATATAAAAATTACTCTCTTTTTTCGTGTAAAAAACCAAGAAATAAAATTACAATATATTTTCTTTTCTCAAAACTCTATTAAGAATAAAATAAAGAAGTCTTCCATCATTCTAGAAAAACTACTAATTTAAAATACATAATAAATATTTTTAAAACAAAAAATCGTTATTATGAGAGCTCCTTAAAATCATTATTTATTTGAAAAAGTAAATTTTATTGCACTGAAAACCCATTTTCTGTTTGCATTTCATAAATAAAATGTGAATGATATTTATAATAAAAGTTTAATTTTAGCATACCGCGAGTATAAATTTTTTTACACAACCCAACTAATTAAGATATAATTTTTATATTAATTAATAAAACATTAGTAATTATTGTTGATACAATTATATAATTTATTTAAAACAAAACCAAAAACTTAGAGTACGTTCATTTTCTTTTTAAAAATACTTTTTTAAATAAGAGATAATACACATATATATTATATTATATATTTTTAAAAGGAAAAATAATCATATTATAAGAAATTGTTTAATATTTAAAAACATGAAATCACTGGAATCTTAATAGATTCCCATACATGTGCTTACATGTCATAAAAGATGGAAATGAGGATATAAAAAAGGAAAGAGTTAAATAATTTTGAAATTTAGATAGGATGATGTATTAGGAGAGAGTGATGTGAAGGAGGAGGCAAGAGGTGGGTGGGGGAAACAAGAAGGAAGGGTTGTGGGAGGAGAGAGAGAGGAGAGAGAGAGAGAGAGAGAGAAGCGCCGAGCTGCACTCAGCAGAGCCTAAGCGCGAAACCATCCTCTCTCGCTTTTCTTTTTTTTTCTTCTGAAATCATTTCATTTCATCTCAATCAGCACACCGTAACCCTCTTCACATTCAATTTGAGTTGGGAAAAGTGAAATCCTGTGTTCCACATTTCCAAACACTCCTCTTTCTCTCCCTTCGTGAATCTGCCGCTACAGTATTGTGCAGTGCCGTTTTTTCTCAGATCTGGTGTCGGTAAAGCGGTTACCCCTCAACGCTCAATTCTCTTCTCTTTCTCTCTTATATGCATAGAAATTAATTTTGATTGATGTGAATTGCTTTTGTTGTCAGAAGATGGAGAGCGAAAAGAAATCGTCGGCGATATCTGACGTCGGCGCGTGGGCCATGAACGTTGTCAGCTCCGTCGGAATCATTATGGCCAACAAACAGCTTATGTCCAACAATGGCTATGCTTTCAGCTTTGGTCAGCCTCCGTCTTCTCATCTATGTTTGGATCTGAGACTGAGAGTTACAGATCTCTAATTTCTCCCACATTTTTTGTGTTCTGCGTTGTTTCCTCTGTCTTTCCATTCACGATCCGAATATTCGTAATACTGTCTGATTTTTTAATGCTTGATGCTGACCGTCGTTTATTTTATTGGCGCTGTGTGTAAAATTTTAATATTGTTACATAGGAAAGCATCTGCTCATGAGTTGTTAATGTTGACAGCTTGATATCATGCCATGATTATGTATTTGTGTGGGTGTTTGTGTGTTGTTGATACTAATCTTTCCTTCTTATTTTTTACAGCGAGTACGTTGACTGGGTTCCACTTTGCTGTGACTGCTCTGGTTGGTCTAGTGTCAAATGCTACTGGTTACTCAGCGTCGAAGCATGTACCCATGTGGGAGCTTATTTGGTTCTCTCTGGTTGCCAATATGTCTATCACGGGGATGAATTTTAGCCTCATGCTCAACTCCGTTGGATTCTACCAAGTATGGTTTTATAATGATAGGGATATCATACATCATGTTCATGGCTTGGACAGTTTGACTTTTTCTCTCTTTCTTGTTAAGAATTTAATCTAATTCAGACATAAGTAATGCATGCATATAATTCAGACAATCTTCCATCATCGTCATACTCATATCCTTTCTGTCAAGCATGCACCAGGGCAATTATTTGAATCATTTCATCCTAAAAGTTGTAATAATGTGTACCTAGCCTATCCTTCAGAAAGGTGCTCGTAGTGGTGGGTTGTGTATGTGTAATTTGTAATTTATTGTTGTGAAAGTAATGAGCTTTTGGTATGAATAATGGAACACTAAATGCAAATACAAACTTAGGGTTATGAATCTACCTTCTTAAAAGCCTACCTAGAGAATCTGATGCAATGAATCCCATATTAGTATTAGTTTTGGTTTGTTAATGCGGAATTTCACATTTTATTTCCTCAATGCACATTGGTTTTTCCTTTTAAGTATCTGCACTTGTGAGTAGTAATGTCAACCCTTGGAGTATTACTAATAGCATGTTTAATGGCCATTTAAAGCCGCTAAACTTACGTTTGAAGATTTAAACGTGGTTCAGAATTTGTTTCAATATGTTTGGCAGTTCTATATTAAAATTGATTTTGCCTCTAAATAATGCTCGAGTCAACATGACAAATTGTTGCTTTTGCATAGAGTTGAAAATATTATGTTAAGTTTTACTTTAAACTTACTTTCAAGTTTCAAGGGAAATGTTTTCAAACATAAATCACTTTACTTCAAACTCACTTTTAATTAAAATCAATTCTACAAAATCAAGTTTATTCAAAAGCAATTTTACAAACAGCCAACCAAACACACTCTAACTAAAGAGATATTTATTGTTAAATGTTAGGAATAATAATTGCAAGTTTTGTAAGACAAAATAATTATGGCAGCCTAAAATCTAAGTCTTCAAGTGCTCTTTTTGATGTAGACCTGTTATGTTTGGGACAGAACAGGCAATAAGTCCCAGGTCCCACTCCAATGCATAAGTCAACATCAAGAATAAGGATAATGCTTTGGAAGAGGATTGGGTGCATGAGATGGGATGAGAGAGAGAGAGAGAGAATGTACCTTTGTAATGAGAGGGAGATAGTCTAGGCTTTGAGTGGGTGACTGTGAAGAGCAGTGTTCTTGGGCTGTGACTTGGAGTATCTGGTTATGAGGCTTCCTATGTAAGGACCTTCATACTGGGCTGTCAGCCTTTTCACTACCTGACCTAAGATGTAAAGCTGTTAACTATGGCATTTTTTTACTGTATGGTGTCAGGTGCTTAGTGCTTTTGCAAGGATTACAACCCTTTGTATTTTGTGGTGATCTTATAATTAGATTGTGCTCAACTTTTCAGTTTAGACAAGCAAGTAGTAGTTGCTATAATTAAATCTCAATTCTTATGTATCGGGAGTTGCTTCCTTCATTACATTGTTTTCGGACATATGTGTCCATTCCCATGATTTGAATGATAGCTACTTATGCATGCCTTCATTTTGAATTTTCATTGCTTCTATTTTTCAGTTGTTAATTCTCTCGTTACATATGTTCACAGATATCAAAGCTTAGCATGATTCCTGTGGTTTGTGTGATGGAATGGATCCTTCACAGTAAGCACTACCCAAGGGAAGTGAAAATGGCAGTGGTGGTTGTGGTGATTGGTGTTGGGGTTTGCACTGTAACTGATGTAAAAGTCAATCTCAAAGGTTTCATGTGCGCCTGTTTAGCAGTTTTGTCAACATCTTTACAGCAAATTGTAAGTATTATGTAATGATTCTTCTCCAGAATGCTGGTGATATAGATATAATTAATTGCAATTTCTGTTGTGGTTTCCTTTTCCCCTTGCCATTTTATATACAAGGAATTGGTTTAGTTTTATGTGAGTTCTGGTCCTTCTGGATGCAACTTCATTAGATTTAGGTCTAGTTTGGGTAAACTTCTAAAGAAGTCCTTAAAGAAGGAAAAAATCAATATAAAAATTAATAACATTTCTCTTATAAGTTAGAAACAACTTATTGCTTCACATTTTAGATAAATAAAATTTGAGAGCTTCTAAAAAAATAGAAAAATATAAGTTGTCTTTAACTTATGAGAGAAATTTTATTTATTTTTTATATTGATTTTTTTCTTCTTTAAGGACTTATTTGAAAGTTACCAAAACTGGGCCTAGATTCATGACTAAAAGCATAATTTCTTCCCTTTTTAGGTCTAATAACGACTTGTCTTTTGCCTGTATATGGTCATTAGATCGGATAGGCTTTATTGTTAAAAGATGAGTATGAGAGATTGTACTTTCCTCTATTAAAGTTGCTTGTGTTACATGCCGGTATTTATTTGTGATGTTTGTGGAAGTCGCTTGTGTTATATGCCAGTATTTATTTGTGATGTTCGTGGGATTGACGCCCTTTGATAACTTATTCTTTTTCTCACCTTTGTTGAGACAGTCAATAGGTTCTCTTCAAAAGAAATATTCAATTGGATCTTTTGAATTGCTGAGTAAGACTGCTCCCATCCAAGCCCTGTTTCTTCTTATTCTTGGTCCGTTTGTTGATTACTACCTCAGTGGCAAGTTGATAACCAACTACAAGATATCTTCTGGTGCCATTGTAAGTTCCTTTTTCCCCTTTTGACTCTAGTATGTTATATTCCCTATGTATTTATCTTTTATTGCACAAATAGCGTTGGCTTATTCATATAACATTTTTCTTAACCCATGCAGTTATGCATTCTCCTTTCATGCTCGTTAGCTGTATTTTGCAATGTGAGCCAATACCTTTGCATCGGGCGTTTTTCAGCTGTTTCTTTCCAGGTTTTAGGCCACATGAAAACAGTGTGTGTTCTGACATTGGGATGGCTGCTATTTGATTCAGAGCTAACTTTCAAGAATATCATGGGAATGGTTATAGCAGTTGTTGGCATGGTAATTTACAGTTGGGCTGTAGAGGTTGAAAAGCGCTCAAATGCAAAGACCTTTCCTAACTCAAAAAACAGCCTTACGGAAGAAGAAATTAGACTATTGAAGGATGGAGTAGAAAAGAGTCCTCTGAAGGATGTTGAACTTGGTGGTGAAATTGAGAAATGAATCAATTGATTTAATTTGGTTTGTGCCTTTTGTCTAGTCTACATGGTAGTAAATCCATTTTTTTCTGCTCCGTTTTTACAATGTGTACTGCATTAATTTGGTTTGTACCCTAGTGTCTATCTGCTTACACTCGCACAAATCCATTTTTACAAGTTGTTTCCATTCATCAGCAATGTTTATTTATTAGTTTGATATTTTACTTTTGTTGTTACATTGAGGTTATTCATTTGGCCTGCCAGGATATTTGCTAGATGAACAATACGAGGGCGCCATTAAGATGTACAATGTGTATGCTAGTGAGAAGTGATAACCCCTCACGCAATTTCTTGTTTTATATACATTCATTTTTGTCTTTTATGCTTATCAATGGTACAGTAATTATTGAAATTCAATAAAGTTATTTAGTTCGATATTTCTGGGCCTTATTTGGCATGATTGTCACTTTTAAGTTTTGAAGATTTTAAAAACAAAATAATTTTTGGTTTATAGCTTCTAAATTTTGATGCTAAAGCTTAAATTCAAATTACACCAATCATTTTTACTTTTCAGCTTAAGTTCATTTAATGATAAAATGATCTTTCTTTTTCTGTCATTTTACATTTTTTTTCTTTTTCATTTCTTATTTGCTTTTCCTCTTTGTCTCTTTTTTTTTATACTCTCTTCTCACTGTAGTTCCTTTTTTTTTCTCTCTCTCTCTTCTCCTCCCTCTTTTTCTTTTTATTCTTTCTTTACGTTTCTCTTTCTTTTCTTATCTCTCTTTAGTTTTTTCTTTATTCTTTTTAATTTTTCTCTTTTTCTTTTCTCCTCCGTCTTTTTCTTTTCTTTCCCGTTCTTGTTCTCTTCCCTGTTCTTTCTTGCCCTTTCTTTTTCCATTTCGTTCTTTTTTATATTTGTTGTTTATTATTGATCTATTTCTATTTGGCTATCTCTTTCTTTTTTCGTTTCTTGATATTTGGCTCGCTTTTTCTCTCTTCTTTTCTTTTTATTTGTCTATCTTTTTTTTATCTTTCTTTCTTTCTATTACTTCGTCTTTTTTCTTTCGTTCTTTATTTTCTTTTCATTTTTCTTGAATTTATGTACAAGTTTTTATTAGAAATTTTATTATATCAATAAATTTAATATGTTGAGAATATTAAATATATAATTTTAAACAAAAAATTATTATTTATTAATTCTTTATCATGTCTTTAGACATATATTAAAAAATTAATTTCTATTTATTTTTAAAACATTAAAATTCGTTAATTTAGCGGTGAAATTGAAAGCTCTCATTGAATAAACACGAGCAGTAATACAAGTCAACAATTTTACTTTTATTTTTAAACATGTCCTGATAATATATATATACAAACACACACACAAGGGTTTAAAAATTGACGTGAAATTCAGAGATAAGACTAAAGCTGTGAATCTTATTATAACGTCCCTTCTCACAGCTATCATAGTTCAAAAATTGAATAACACTTGGATCATTATGAAAGAAGCCAAAATATCGACCTGCAAAGGTACACATATAGGTGGTTGCATCGACAAATGCACAAAGAAAAAGGAATAAAAGACAATCTTCAATAATAAATTAATCACTTATAAAATAAATGAGTTTTAAAATACAAGAACTCTACAAGATTAGGATATGCATACTAAAAACTAAGGAAAATAGAGTCTACTTTCATCACTTCACTAGTTAAATAAGGAGGAAGAGTTTAACTATTATTGTACCAATATAAGAAAGCACTTATCTACATTAAGACTATCAAATAGATATGAAAATAAAAGAAAAGAAATAGAATGCCACCTTCGTGATAACTATCTGTGTATGTAATTAATCTTCACCCGTATAAATTATTTTCAATGATTTGTTTTGGTCAAGAAATTAATTTCAATAACTAAAATTAGTCGACATTATATTTTTGTACTTGAAAAAATCGTCTTTAATTTCATAAAGGCTTCAAATAGCCATCTACTAGTGATTGGTAGCATTAAAATATGGTGAATTCAAAGACTTCCTGTATGCTGGAGAGAAACATTTGATCTTTCTGCATTCACAAGTTCAATGAATAAATACGGACTAAGGGTAATTAACCTTATTAAGCCATGAACTTACTGTTCTTCAAATTTTATAGCCTTATAGAGTAAGACTTCATGCACTTCTTCCCGCACTTGTTTTTGGTTTCAATGGGAAGAAGCAAAGAAACAAACTGATAATTATTTAAAATGTTTCCATATATAAGATAGAGAAGCAGAACATGTAAAATTCAGAAAGTATCAACCACAAACTCACGCAATTTTTTTCCTCTACAACAATATATGAAGGTGAAGGTTACGGGAAAAGAAAGTGATTACATTTTATTTGATTCATATATAGGTAATGAGTTTTTGATTTGGAATGTGATAAAGAAAGTATGCAAGATATTGATTAGAGTTTGATTAATTATAATAGATTGGGTTCCATAGCTGATTACATATATATATATATATATATATATATATATATATATATATAATTATTATTTAGAGAAAGTTGCTCATAGGAAGATATTGCACAATAATACAAATATTCATAGATTTTATAAAGCATGCAACAAAACATGTTTTTAATTATCAAGTTATATAATGTTATAGCATGATCGGAAAGTAAAAAGAGGGTACTCTAAAAATAGAAAAACTTTTATTTCGAAACACTAAACTAAAAAATTCTGGGTAGTCCCCTAAAGAAAAGAAAAGATAATGGTTTATTTAACTTCATAGTTTGAAAGTTATTTCTATTAGTTTTATCATTATATACTTTTATGTGCATGAAAAAAAAAGAGGTGCTCCAATGTCAGAAATTTTGCTCCTACCATTTCAAATATTTCTAAGAAAAAATGGCAAGAACAATGTTTATACGGAAGTATGAGAATTTTGAACGCATTTATATTTTATTATTATTTAATTCCTTTTATGTAACATGTCGTAATAATTTTATTATTACCTATGCTAAAGAGACATTTCTTAATTTGATCTTTTAAATTTATATGTGCTATTATCAATCTTTCAAAACTTTTGTTATTAAATTAGTTTCTAAAAAATGTTATTTGTTATTACTTTAGCATTTAAAATATTTTGTTATTAAATTAGCCTCTTAATGACTTCATTTGTCTCCACATTAATTTTTTTTTTTTGTTACCATTTCAAAATTTTACAAGGATTGGTTTAGTGAAATTTTATATACTTTTTAAAGATTTAATCTAGTATCAATCTACAACATTAAAAAATTATTACTTTGAAGGGAGTAATTTAGTGATAAGTTATATTTTTTTTTATGGTGGTATTTTAGATTTTGAAGAGAGAAATTCAGTAAGAGATTATCAAATTTTTAAAGACTAATTTGATGACAAAATTTTTAAAAGACTAACAAAGTAACAATTTAAATTTTGAGAAACTAGTCAATCATTTTCAAAATAAATGATAAAATAGAATATGATATTTTATTCATCAATAATACATATGAACTGTGCTATGTAAAAGAAAAAAAATATATAATCATTATAATTTTCTTTGTTTTACTATCTTTACTATGTATATTTTTCTTCTAGAAAAATAAATAAAAAATTGTTTGTAATAATATAAATAAAGTAGTTATTAAGTATTTGTAAATTTGAAAGGACATTGTATACTTTTTCTAAATTATAATTTTTTTAATATTTTAGAAATTAAGGAATGTTTATGTTTTTTAAAATAAATCACTGAACTTATTTGCTTTTATGATTATTTTGTTATGCAACCCAGTATTAATTAAACCTTATTCATCCACTTCTGCTTTTTGAATATGTTTGAAATTCAATTTCTTTCTATTTAGTTATGCATTAATTCTATAGGGCATATTTTATATTCTAATCTTTTGGGTCTCTAAGTAATTAATCGAATGTTATTTTCTTAGAAGTCTTATTACAACAATACCACTCATGCTTTTTGTAATCGGGTTGGCAAGGTTTCCACGCTGCCTAATAAATCGTATTATTAGCTTACGCAAGGTGTAGGAAACTTTCATTATACTATTCTTAACATAAAAGGTTCTCATAAATTCATTTGGCGATTGAGAAAATTTAAAATGTGCAGTATATCCGCCATTGCCCATGAGTATTTAGATCTAAGAACTATATTTTTTTCTCCCTAAAAGTATTTAATTTAAAATGTTGTTAGAGAAAATTTTAGTATATAAATGCAATAAATAACCATTCTTTCTAGGTATGATGCTTATCCATTTCACTGCTTGTGACAGCCTTGACATTAATTTTCCTTTTACTAGTTAAGTTTCTATTTTGTTGCTCCTCTTTCCTTGTACTTCATGATATATTTTATCATTTGTTATTAAAGTTGGTCACTTGTTTATGGACTAAAACAAAAGTTTGTACCTTGTTTTGCCTTGAGAAACCCTTGTACAATCAATATTATTTACTGCCGCTGCAAACTAATATTTGTTTTTTGTATATTTGAATATGGTCTAATGTATATTGACTAAATAAATTGTTAAAAATACCAGTATATTTATTTGAAAATGTCATTTAAAATAATATAGTTTGAGGTCTAGCTATCTAAATCTTTCCTTTCTTCCATTCAATAATTTAACCACCTATTTGTAATCTTTCACAAGAAACCATGTCATTTGAGAAGTGGATTCATGATAATTGAAATTAGGCCAAGTAATGTCCGTAGTGTTGGTTTTAGGGCAGTACACATGCTTGCAATATAACAATTTGTGATGTGATATACTTTTTAAGCATGTTGTCATCTCAAGAGTCAAGCTCTGGTAGCTTTTAATATGATTGTAAATGATATGATAGGAACTGTTGATTTTCATCTGTCGATTAATAAATTCTTATACACTCTCAATGCATGCTTTTTGTTCAATGGTACTCTACCCAATGGAATATATTTCATTTTTTTTTGGGTAATTTGCATTATCAAATTTTGATTATGTTTTCAGCCTTTGTTTTTGCTGCATATATGCCGTATTTTCTTTTGGAGAGTGCAGGTAAAAAATGAACAAAAGATTGATAGAAAATACATAAGTCACTGCCACAACCTGGTCAATCACTCAACCGGAATTTACGATGCTCACTCTATTTTATAACATAATTTAGAAGAACAATTAGAAAAAAGAATGATGTTTTTACATGTAAGATGAACATGGTGGCAAAAAGAAATGATATCATATGCTTTTCCTAAATGAATTCAACTGTGCTTTGCCTAAAGAAATGATAAAAATTATTTTATATGCCATCTCTCTAAAATGTATGCACTTGCTTGTCTCTTTCTCTGTTTTAGGCTTGCACTGTTCATTTCAACATTGAAGGCTTTATTCCTTTCTATAATATTTCTAGAGTCTTGTAACAGTGATTTTTTATCATGAATTTGTATTTACAAAGT